CGTGTTCTTCTTCTCATCGCCAACCTCCCCTTCATCTTCATCCTACAGCGTAAAATGAGTGAGGTGTGGTTTGAGATATGGTTGTTTTTTTAGTTGCCGTGAGAGGGAGAGACAGAGAGAGAGAGACAAAGACAAAGACAGACACACAGACAGAGAGAGAGAGAGAGAGAGAGAGAGAGAGGGAGGGAGGGAGGGAGAGAGTGAGGCTCTGTCGTTCTGGAGATGTGTTGGTGGTTTTCTCTTTCACCTCTCTTTTCTCTTTATAGTTTTTCACTAATTCGTCATTCAACCCAGAGCTGTGTTTGTTGGCTGGTCGACCACAGGATTTTGTGTGGGGTTGTTCTGGAGTGTCGGACTTTTGTTGTAGTGTGACTGTTACAGTCCTGAAACACATGCAGTAGACACACTACTATAAACATACACTAAAAATGTACAACATGCGCACATTTCCTGGATTGATCAGTGTGGATCGATGGCAATACAGTTGTAGTCTGTAAGCAAACAGCGCCATTTTGACTAGGGTGAAATGGTTAGATAGGTTAACCGGTTATGTAACCGTTAAGAATACACGAACAGTTAACCATATGCATATGGGTTAATCGGTTATTTTCTTTCAATGTCCGCTGTACATAATATACGTGAAAGCATGTGCGTACCCTGTCAGTACTGTGCACAATGGATGTACGGCGTGTATCTCCCTCATCTCTGGGGTTGCTCCCCATATTAGTGATGCTTGCATATGCTCATGATGAGGTTGAGTTGATAAAATGACAAGGTGATGGTGCAATCCGAAGCCCAATGGAGCATACAAAATATTAAAATATGTTGAACCTTTCGTTCAGAAAGTAGTGGACATTCACGCAACTGCATTGTAAATATAAAGGGGGTTTGTCAACTGGCAACCGCTCTATTTAGTTGTTATTCACTCTTTGTTGAACCTGCTCTGGAAAACTGAGCAAAATATAATATGCATCCACTATACATATTGTAAACAGTTTCGTCTGAGACAAAAATGCGATAATACTCATAATACTCATAAAGTATACTTGTGAAGACAAAAACTTTCAAGACGTTTGTAATGAGCCTGAAATGTGTCCTTTTATGAGTATTATACATATTGTAGTGATTGTTTTGGCAGTGCGTGAGGTCATGGTACCATGGATACATGGATTTACAGTCATGTACAGCAATGGTACATGAATACAGGCTACATGTACAGTTTATCTCTTATAGGTTGTAGCAAGAGTAGATAAACAAGAGTGTGCAACTCTGGATCTCTTCTGCACAATCTGCACATACCCCTGCCTGTGGCAGCATTTTTTGTAGACGTCACCTTTTTTCAGAAAAACGCGCATTTTGACGCAGAACAGTGTGAGAGCACGTACTGGGCACCGACCTTGTAATGTAAAGCCCGGCCAAGTGCACGATGCAAACTTTCCAAAAGACCCGCAGCGCATGCGTCATAGAAAAGATTACGTCAACAAAAAATTCCGCCACGGGCCAACCCATCCCGGAGTTGCACACTCTTGTTTATCTACTCTTGGTTCTAGCCTATAACCTTTTGGTTAACCGCAGCCCTAACTTTGACATGTATGGTTTACATTATGTGCCCAACTCGCTATAACATGGACCTCTCTAAAGCATAACACTTGCCGTACCCCAGAGAATATATAGTGAGGTCTCGCCTGTAAGATGAAGTGTGATACCTAGTTATTGCATACATGTACATGTAGGTGTGAACATCATTATAATTGAATTCACGAATCAATTTCATTTCTTGGAGCTGACTGCTTTAATGTCCTCCTCGAATCCCTTCGCACTTTTCCAGTTCATTTCAAATGAAGTTGCAGGAACTCAATGAATACATTGGGCACCATCTAAGGCTGCGTATACACGACTACGCTGGGGGTGAAAGCGCAACTAAATCCTTTCGGATGCATGGTTCATTTACACGGTACGCGGAGCAAAACGTAATAGTTGTACACCAAAGCGGAAGAGAACCAAAACGCTGGCCAAGGTGGAAGAATTTGAAAACGGAAATGTTCTGCCGTATAAATTTGGGTGTGTAAACAGTCGAAACGGTCTGCTGGCCTCGTTTCCGTCACGTTTGTTCCGTTTTCGGCCGTTCACACGGATCCGACAATAAAACTCTTTTTTTACAATTTTCGTCATGTGACGAGTGCTGGTGTGTGCCCTGTTTTCGATTATTCCTTGAGTGTGATTGGTGCTTCCACGACAACACTCGACACATGACGAACTTTTGCGGATCCTTTGCTCCCGTGTAGACGCGAGAAAACGATACAAACCGAGACCACCTCGGATCAGCTTTGATCGTGTAAATGCACGAAAATGAAAAAAGAAATGCGGGACTGAAAACGGAAAATGGCCGTGCGTTGTCGTGTAAACGCAGCCTCAGAAGACATTAGGCCCAGTTGGGAATGTTCCTGTAAAATAAGAACATTACACTGTAATAGGAAGTGCATGTGCCTTGAATGTACAGTCCTGCTCAATGAAATCCAGTCGTGTCACTCAAGTTTGCGCCTTGCACCATTTCGCAGCCCAGTGTTCGCAGGTCTAGGGCTGCGCAACGCCCGGTACTTGAGCGACGCGACTTGATTTCAGGATTTCATTGGGCAGCACTGTACGAAGGCAATTCTCCCATACAAACAGCATGGTGCTGCTGACAAGATGAGATTCACTAAAGTGGACTTTCTTTAGAGGATGGCTCAGCTTTTGTATACTTCTGTAGCGTCGTTCCCATGCCATGAATTTAATGATGAAATTCGTTCGCGAAACCAAGAGGCTTACATCACCTTACTATTATTGTACCTTCACTTTCTTTTACCTTTTTTCATGCAGGATTCTGAAAGCTAGAGGAATCCCACTAGCCCCAAGCACTGAGCTCACGGCTACCAGCCACGAATCAGGCATGGTGTATCACGACATCTATATGTTTTGCATCCATTTGATTACTAGTACCGTAAAGTACCGCCAGAGTGCCCCACTATCTCGTCCTTTCGTGGTCGTATTGTGTAGGTGGTCTCCCGTCTGTAGGTCATACGACACGAACTTCGTACACATATTGCACGTTGTGCAGACAATCCGTACCTTCGAGCGGACACGAGCTCCACACAAAAACCTTCCTCTGACGTTAGTACACCATACACACTTCGTTGCATTCTGCCGTACGATTTTCCTTTCCCTGGACCCTGGCTGTAAAATCAAGGTGGGGCGCTCTCGCGAGACGGGGCGCTCTCGCGGTACTTTACGGTATACCATTCACACATAACATGATCTCGCTGTGCCCATGGTGCACTGTAGACTCAACATCCCGCTTTAAAGTAAGCTTCACAATCACACGTTAATGCTCCTAACATGTTATCTCGCACTTGATGGCATTACTCTATTTCTGCCTTTAGTATTAGACTCTACACTATCGCTCATCGCGTATTTGACTCTACTCTTTTTCACTGCTATTATTATGCTACGTTGATGCTCAATGTTAATATTGTGTGAGTCAAGTGTGCGCCCTGTGCCAGTTGACAGCCCAGTGTTCACAGCTGCACAACGTTCCACACGGCATTCACTCGCTTCATTGGACTTCATTGAGCACCACTGTAGTATTCTGTGTTGGTTGATCAGCCCTTCTAGTGACGACTCCTGTCTGTCACTCTATCTTGAAAGGGACTTTTCGGCTTTGTACTGCATGACCATTGTGTGTGGACTCACGAGTTACTTGGAGTACAATTCACTATAAACTTCACTATAGTAAAGCCTGCCCTGACAAGACGCCCTTGGTGCAGCGGAAACTGTCCTGATGTGACAGGACCCCGCTTGATCCAGGAATGCACTTTCGATCCACAGCACTTTGGTGCATGAAATTTTGTCCGGTAAATACAGGATTCCGCTTGGTACAGGGTCCGGCAAACACGGGTTTTACTGCAATCCAATTTCCCAATGCATACGTTTCATTGCATATGCTTCAATTGTATTTTGTGTGTACTTTGGGGGGGGGGGCTGGGAAAGTCTACGTTTTGTGAAGCCGCTGCGACCGGCGACAATTATGTACATGACATTGAGGAGATTATTTGAAAAATAATCCCCGCGGCGCGGACATATCCTGTTAGGCATATGCGGGCAGAATTCAGTACTTTTTCTGGTAAGTTTCATGCATGTTTGGTATGTGGATAAAGAAATGGAGCAGAATTCGAGGAATTGCCCGCCATAAGGTTTGTATGGTTCTGCCAATTTCACAGCTTTTCGAGCAGAATCTCCCACCTTTTCGAGCATTATCCGCACACCCCTATATCCTGTTTAGACGACACTTTCGGGTGATCAGCATGAACCGATGTGAACGGAACACTGAACATGGATATTACCAAGAGGGGTTATGTACTCTTGATATTACGGTGAAGCCTAACAATTTGTGGCATTTAACATACAGAAAATGATGCTGATTTTCATACATGTATTATAACATTATGGGAATATCGCAGTGAATCTTCAAAGCACTAGGTGGTCTGCACTCTACAATGTGACCTGTGCGATTATATCGTTCAATAATGTCTGCCTGTTCCGAGCCACCAATCGCACCAAAGACCATTACTTCTTCAAAGAATCGTCATCTACTGTTTACTGAGTGGTGTGCGGCCAGTCGCCAAGTACTCGTACCATACCAGTGCGAGTACTGATTACGATGATGCCATGCCGTTCACAAGGGAGTAGTAAAATACCTACTCCGCGCCCAGCTCACAATCGATCGATTTGGTTTCTTTTTTTTGTTGCGCGATCGATCGATTTTGCGCGATCGATCGATCGTTGCGCGATCTGTCGATCGACAGATCGCGCAGCAAAATCGATCGATGTGGCAGATCCATAGATGGCGCACAACATCTGTACCGTAGAATTATTTTATGCCCATGGCCCAGGGAAGTCGTAAAATACCGGTATTTTACGACTCCCTGACATGGACTCATGGGGGGTGGTGAGAGCATTCTGAGCATGCGTAACGAAAGGCAAATCCGAACAACTTTTCTGCTTTGAAAATTTGTCCTTTGGCTTCAATTTCAGGGAAGACTACATCTGAACTTCTTGTTTGTCCACCATGGCGACCAACAGCCCAAACAAAGATCCGAAAGCGGACAGGATAAGAAAGAAGGAGAAGGGGCGACGGCTATGGGCCAAAATAGATGCAGCAATGAAAAAATTGAATGACGAACTTGGCTATCCAGCTGGCGCAGTCATGGTGAAGGATGGTCGGATTCAGTCTTGTGGGACACTTGGTGCTGCAGCAACAGCAGCTCAGAGATTATCTCTTGCACAATCTGTTCGCTCAGAAGTTTTTGAGAAGTCTCGAGGAGATGTATCCAATGTCAATGGCAGCACTAGTAGTACAGCAGAAACAACAAGCAGGCAAGATGCGCGGGGCTGCTTCGCACAAGGACCAACGCATGCCGTATACCTGACTCCATTGCCTCGGCCAATCGAAAACCTGACGGAGACTGAGCTTCGAAGTTGGGTTCCCAAGTTTGTCAAGGAATCAACTGGACGCAACCAGCCAAGGTAGGATTTTGGAGTGTGAGCAGATAGAGATGTACGAGTGTGGCATGAGGGGCGAAAACTTATTTTGTGAGTGGATTCCGCGCATGATCATCTTGCTGTTTTTGGGGAAGGAGAAAACGGATAGGTCTATATGTGTCCCTGGCCCTGGTGCTGGATGCACATTATGCACGTAGTAGATCTACGAGTACTTACTTCGTTGATCGTTTTGTCGAGTTGATTCCGTGATGCATGCTTCTTCGTTCGTGATACCAGAAACCGGAGTTGCATCTCGACTGATCCTTTGTGAACTGTATTTTCACGGCTCTCAAGCGATGGTCAGCAGGGAATCGGCGAAAATGGCGTGAAATACCCGATATCGATTCTCGATCTAAATTCTCAGGGACCAAGTCCGCTGCCTACCACACACTTGTCGGTGTGATTGTTCCAGGCCCAGGACAAATTTCCAAAATTTCTCTACTTCCATTATTAATCCAGGGAGTCGTAAAATACTCCCTGATTACGACTCCCTGATTATGACGTATATCTACGTTCTCCATCATTTTTGAGCGCTCTCTTGAACAGAAGTACAGTGCTGCTCAATGAAAGGCGCAAACTATTACTGTCTTAGTCCATTTCGCACCTTGCACCATTTCGCAGCCCAGTGTTTGCATGTCTAGGGCTGTGCAACGCCCAGGCCTGGCGCGTACTCGAGTACTGTAAAGCGTGAAATTTTCGTGACGTTTTTAGTTCGCGTTTTCAGAATCCGGACAGGTTTGCGAGGTTTTAATTTTGCGACTGCAGAATGGCATTCTTGCTAAACCTTTCATGGATCTCCTTTTCGCGCTGTCTAAATTTCGTGATTTCCACGCGGTCGCGAATTTCGCAGAAATTAGACCATCGCAATAATTTCACGGTTTACAGTATCGCGGCTTAACTGGAGTTCATCGAGCAGCACTGTATGCTACTAGCGGGAATACGTAACGAAGAGTGTGCAATTCGACGACCGGCCCGGCCCATCGCGGAGTTACTTTATGACATCTTTTCACGGCCGTTTGACTCACTTGTGCCATCATGCGTATCCAGAGATCAAAGTACATTGTACAAGGCAGGACAGGCAGTTTTTGATTGGTCCGGCCATACCATAGGCGTCACACTGTGTGTATGACATAGGCTTGACACTGTGTGTATGACATGGAGGGTGTAACAGATACACATGACCTCCTTAGAGGTAAACACACGTTGGTGGCCAAAAAAATTGGTCCGGCCATGGCCTGGCCAACTGGACCGGTTCCGCCGGGCCTGCTTGAAGGAACCTGTGTAACATTACATCACAGCTGCGGTAGACGAAGCAGAGCAGCGTCAGTGCTGCCAACCAACTGGGTCTGTTTTCCGTTCTGCGACTTCTGATTTTCCGTATTTTGCCGTGTTTTTGCGTACTGCCAATGACTATGTACTGCACATGCATGCATGTACATGTACATTGATACCCTTACAGTATCGTGTTTTTTACACTCACCGGCTAGGCGCACGTTGGTTGCTGTGTTTGCTAGTGGAAAACATGTGTGACTTGTATCACAATGTGAGTATTAATTTTGTCCTACTTGTAGTCGTAGCACAACATGCACTCGCTTTGGCAGAGGGATTTTCATCGCTCAGCTTGCGCGTGCCATGCTTCTACATAGCCAATCGATCCCGTTCGATTTTCCGTACAGTTCTCTCAAATTCCGTAGTGCGGACGAAGGAGTGATTTTCCGTACAAATACGGAAAAAAACACGGAAGGTTGGCAGCGCTGAACGGATGGTAGATGCATGTGTGTTGAGCCGCACATAGCACAGGAGTGGGGACCTAACAAACCTAACAAACCTGATGAACACTGTAGTACAAGACAAGCGTTGTAAATACATATGCAATTGATCGTACCAAGAGTCCATAACCCCCAGAGTGTGCAACGCCACACAAATCTCTGTGATGACTCGTTTTCAACATTACGTCATTTTCATGTAGCTGCTCGTGCAGGCCGCGACATTCGCTACATGAAAATGACGTAATGTTGAAAACAAGTCGTGACAAGACCCTATCGCGCGTTGCGCACTCTGAGGGTTATGGACTCTTGATCGTACTTCTGCCAAAAAATAATGCAATAAAAAATCCCGCCATGGGTGAACCCATCACAGCTCGAGATAGGAGTTGCACACTCTCGGTTATGTTATCTTGCTATTGGTATACTTCTAGGCGCCGAGGCTCAGCGCTTTGTACAAATGACGTGACTGCCAATACCCCCTCATGTTGTTAGCTAATCCGAGATATTCGCGAATAAATGAAGAAAATTATAGGCCTAAAACGAACCCTAACAGAAGCGAACGAAACAGTCTGCCGAACTGTACTGTTTGCTTGACGGACTCACCAACTTTTCTGCTAAACCCCTGCCCGTGTCCACATCAGCCCTTCATCACACAAGTGACAGATGTCAGTCAAATCGCTATGGCCAGCCATAGCTCATCATACTTCAGTAAAATCACCACCACATAATTGTAGACCAGCCAAGGGCAACCTGCTATCAGTAATAATCACGGTGTCTTCTTGGGTAACGTTAGAATAGCATGCCTGTGGCTGGCTGGCTGGCTGGGCTGTGCGCGTAAGCGCACTTTTAGTCGCAGTCTGAGCACGCATGCATACATGTTTGGGTGCCTATTACATGTACCACCCTCGATATCGGGATGGTCCCGACCAAATCACCACGGTTGGCAGGTATTACAATCTCTGCAAAACATTTGAGCTCAATATGAGCAAGGAGAGTGGAATGGCTGAAGAAGATCGATCCCTCCCCCCCCCCCCTCCTTCATGAATTTGTCGCTATAGTGTATTTAGTCGGCTGCAGCGGCAGCCTTGGTAGTCGGTGTGGTTGTATCTCCTGCCTCTCTTCAAGAGCTTTCTATTAGCATGGAAACCATCCGGAGTTATTTGTCGGATAAGGGGCTATCCGGCATTATCGATAATTTTCACGAAACGAAAAAGTTTAGTTAGGACCCTCCCCCACCCACCCACCCCCCTGAACGAAATATACCGTATTATCTCTAATATAAGCACAGTCTCCAATAATAGCACGTCTCCAATAATAGAACACCTTGGGGCGGCATTCAAAAAATAAAGTGACCAGTCTCCATTAAAAGCACACTGTGTTAATTCATTATCTGTACCGGCGAAAAAAAAACCTGAAATGTGTGTGTCTGACATGAATTTGGCATGGCAACATGCCTCTGAAATGAGGTTGAAATAATAATGGAACAGTCTCCAATAAAGGAACGTCTCCATTAATAGCACGGGGCGGAGGTACATTGAAAAAATAAAGGACCGTGCTTATATTAGAGATAATACGGTAGATTGACTTGATAGCAAGAATGCGGGGATGTCTCTCATATCAATATTTTTCAAAACGAAACTCCCCTTGACCCACCCACCCATATACGAAACTTTTTCTCTTCGTGTAAAAGATCGATAATTATGGACGGCCCCTAAGGTAAACAGATGGTTAATTTGCCAAAATAGCTCTTTTTATCAGACTGCAACTTGTTTATTATAAAATGTGCTCATGTGTATTGTTTTTAGGAGTGTAGTTCTGTTATTGTGTTGCTGGTTTATGTCCTTTGCAGATGGGGCGATGAAAAGTTCAAGCCTCCGTGGTGGCCAACGCACGTGCTTCCTTTCGAGAATGTGAACCGCGACCACCGGCTTGTGAAGGGCTCGTCCTACGCCGACGCTTTGCGCGATGCCGTGCGCGCGTGTCTCGAGTATCATAACATACCCGTCGATCAAGGTTTGTTGCAGTGTCCAGCGCAGTGTGATTACTGTAATGCCTATCCTGTGAAACTTGTCTACGACGACCACCCGAGTGACGTTCAAAACACGGTCTCTGTTACCAGGTGGCCTCCTTATCTAGGGTCATTTGAGTGGAAATAGCATACCTTGGACCTGGGTGCAGTGGTCTTCTGGGGCAGGTGGTCACTTTATCCGAGTGGTTGCCTTTACAGGTTTTACTGCACCGAGTAGAGTGACATGTGACAAAGAAACATGGCATTGTGCAGGCTAAAAGACGTGTGAAAGTACTCTCTCTCTCTCTCTCTCTCTCTCTCTCTCTCTCTCTCTCTCTCTCTCTCTCTCTCTCTCTCTCTCTCTTCTCTCTCTCTCTCTCTCTCTCTCTCTCTCTCTCTCTCTCTCTCTCTCTCTCTCTCTCTCTCTCTCTCTCTCTCTCTCTCTCTCTCTCTCTGTCTCTCTCTGTCTCTCTCTGTCTCTCTCTGTCTCTCTCTGTCTCTCTCTGTCTCTCTCTCTCTCTCTCTCTATCTCTATCTCTCTCTCTCTCTCTCTCAGTTGCTGTGAACACCTTGAGTGGAGAGCGCTTGCTCGAGCGTTGAACCGGGTTCTTGATCCACCATACCCAGTTCGCAAGGCTGGGCGGGGTTGTGAGCTTTCATTTCATCTTTTCTTATTATTTCCTACTTCAAAGTATTATTTCTGCTTTTCATCTCATTACAAAAATTCTGCGCATTTTTTCTCCATCTGCATAAAATCTAGACTGACAACCTGCTTGTTAAATCATGCACCTGCTTTCAGGCGTAAAAACCCTGTTGTAGAGGTCTCAGTCCTCATTTGTTAGACTTACCTGTCTTTATAAATGTAATTTACTCTCTCTCTCTCTCTCTCTCTCTCTCTCTCTCTCTCTCTCTCTCTCTCTCTCTCTCTCTCTCTCTCTTTCTCTCTCTCTCTCTCTCTCTCTCTCTCTCTCTCTCTCTCTCTCTCTCTCTCTCTCTCTCTCTCTCTCTCTCTCTCTCTCTCTTTTCTCGTTTCATGAACCAGTATCATTCGAATATTCTCTAACCGGGCATATTAGTCTTTGCAATGTCTCGCGTCAAAGTACTGCGCATTTCAAAAAAATGAAAGAATGAAGCCAGTATCCGCACCATTGCTAACATTTCTGCGAAGGGTAGGATTTTAGAGTAATTTCATGTGATGTATGTATCCGGTCCAGTCCATGTACTATACGTCATTACGTGTCTACCATTGGGGGGGGGGGGGGGGGGGGGGGGGAGATAAGAGCAACACAAATTGTAATACGAATTTCAGGGCACGCGTGGTACAGTCACAGAGACGCTCAGACCGTTGAAAAACTTAATTTGCCCAAAAGTGAAAATGAGACTAAAGGACAATAATGGAGAGGGCTGTTCTCCAGAGATATACAGAAGAACATTTTCGAACTTCATCTCCACCTTGCTGATAAGCTCGAAAATTCAGTCAAAATGGCATCTAAAAAACGTTGTACCACCCCGGCCACCTTAAAAAATTGTTAAAGTTCAGTTGAAACGTACATGTCGATACTCACCGTTCCACTGGTCTTTGTTGTTGCAGCTGTCCAGACTACCTACATGGAATCCGGCAAGGCACATCGCAAGCTGACGGAGTGCGCGTCCAACGTATGCAAGGGCACTGCGCCACTGGCGCTGGTAGCCAGTCGAGAGGCCACCAGTCCCGAGGACTCTGAGAATCTCACCCGCGCCGCCACGCTGCTCTCGGAGCAGGTCACGTTCCTGCTACAGATTGCCCAGGGACTGTCGGCAGCGGATGTCCTCACGGTACGTCACATCACAGGCCTCGCCACCATGTTCTCCTGTAGTGTTTGTTTGAACTTGGCTGCTGTGGTGTCTAGCTGACTGCATGTACATGTCTGATTGCTGGTTGATGATCGCATAAGGAGCATGAAATCAGTATCAGAAGACAGTAACTTGGTTGGAAATTACCCTTGTGCGTAGCTGATCACATTCACAGGATGAATATGTAGGTAAGAATACTATACATAGGCAAACATCTATACCGAATGATAGCTATTACTATACATGTACATAGGCAAACATCTGTACCGAATGATAGCTATTACTATACATGTACGTAGGCAAACATCTGTACCGAATGATAGCTATTACTATACATGTACATAGGCAAACATCTGTACCGAATGATAGCTATTACTATACATGTACATAGGCAAACATCTGTACCGAATGATAGCTATTACTATACATGTACGTAGGCAAACATCTGTACCGAATGATAGCTATTACTATACATGTACATAGGCAAACATCTGTACCGAATGATAGCTATTACTATACATGTACATAGGCAAACATCTGTACCGAATGATAGCTATTACTATACATGTACATAGGCAAACATCTGTACCGAATGATAGCTATTACTATACATGTACATAGGCAAACATCTGTACCGAATGATAGCTATTACTATACATGTACATAGGCAAACATCTGTACCCAATGATAGCTATTACTATACATGTACATAGGCAAACATCTGTACCGAATGATAGCTATTACTATACATGTACATAGGCAAACATCTGTACCGAATGATAGCTATTACTATACATGTACATAGGCAAACATCTGTACCGAATGATAGCTATTACTTGTATGTTTTTAAAGCATGCAATCTTCTCGTTGGTTTTCCCTTGCAGTCCCTATCGAGGCCGGTAACAAACTCGACAGCTGCGGGTAAGAACAACGTTTGCTGTTGACATATTGATTCTCTTTTGTTGGAGGTTGCAACGAATTCCTTCGTACTACTGAGAATCCAGAATATTTCGGATCCATTATAATTTTCGTGAAAAGAAGGACAACATGTTAAGAGTTATGACTAACTGTCCACCAACGTAACCAGATCTTATACAGTTGTTGGTTTGTTGGCTTGCGCCTTGGAGAAGTGTTGGCGCTAGGTGTCAGGTCGCCGAATGTCTCAGTACTCCTTGTCAGTTTTGTGCCATTTTGTCGCACTCGCTGACTGTATAAGATCTGGTTACGTTGGTGGACAGTTAGTCTTAACTCTTAACATGTCCTTCTTCTTTTCACAATAATTTAACTGGCTCACCACCCGAGTTAAACATTATAATTTTGTTTATTTTGTAAGCTTGCTGACTGCCGAATATGTTGAAAGTGCATATGAAGTTACTACATGTGCTTCAAGTACTTCAAAGTAGTGTCACTCATACTGGTGAGGCTGGTGAGGCTGGTTCACATTGCACTCATACTGGTGAGGCTGGTTCACATTGCACTCATACTGGTGAGGCTGGTTCACATTGCACTCATACTGGTGAGGCTGGTTCACATTGCACTCATACTGGTGAGGCTGGTGAGGCTGGTTCACATTGCACTCATACTGGTGAGGCTGGTGAGGCTGGTTCACATTGCACTCATACTGGTGAGGCTGGTTCACATTGCACTCATACTGGTGAGGCTGGTGAGGCTGGTTCACATTGCACTCATACTGGTGAGGCTGGTGAGGCTGGTTCACATTGCACTCATACTGGTGAGGCTGGTTCACATTGCACTCATACTGGTGAGGCTGGTTCACATTGCACTCATACTGGTGAGGCTGGTTCACATTGCACTCATACTGGTGAGGCTGGTTCACATTGCACTCATACTGGTGAGGCTGGTTCACATTGCACTCATACTGGTGAGGCTGGTTCACATTGCACTCATACTGGTGAGGCTGGTTCACATTGCACTCATACTGGTGAGGCTGGTTCACATTGCACTCATACTGGTGAGGCTGGTGAGGCTGGTTCACATTGCACTCATACTGGTGAGGCTGGTTCACATTGCACTCATACTGGTGAGGCTGGTTCACATTGCACTCATACTGGTGAGGCTGGTTCACATTGCACTCATACTGGTGAGGCTGGTTCACATTGCACTCATACTGGTGAGGCTGGTTCACATTGCACTCATACTGGTGAAGCTGGTTCACATTGCACTCATACTGGTGAGGCTGGTTCACATTGCATTCATACTGGTGAGGCTGGTTCACATTGCGCTCATACTGGTGAGGCTGGTTCACATTGCACTCATACTGGTGAGGCTGGTTCACATTGCACTCATACTGGTGAGGCTGGTTCACATTGCACTCATACTGGTGAGGCTGGTTCACATTGCACTCATACTGGTGAGGCTGGTTCACATTGCACTCATACTGGTGAGGCTGGTTCACATTGCACGGATAATTTAGGCAAGTGAATGGGTGTGTGGAGGCTCAAAGTACGAACTTTTTCCACGTGCAGTTATATCCGGATTACCAGTGTCCTTGCTGTGTGCACCGTCGCGATGTCATGTTATCATCAGTGTGTGACTACTGGGTGGTCATTTCCTGTTGGGGCAGGTGTGGACTTCACGTTCTTTCTTAGCTGCCCAGAAACCCCCGGGTTACGTATGACTGGCATTGATAATGTAGAATACACACCTGAACAGTAGTTTGCCTGCTTCAGGACTTTGATCGGTTGGTTGATGGTATCGGCTTGTATGGCTAGTACTGTAAGGCATGAGTCAAAGAACCCTTCCGTACCCCTCACCCACGGCCTGCCTGTTGTGTACAAATAGGTAACACACTAGGTGCTCCACACTCGTCAATTCTGGTCACACCATATTTAAGCTGTGGTATATTTGTGTGGCTTGGCTATAAAACCATACATGTGTGTCTCGTATCTCTTACCGCTTGCATGCAGAAGAGGAGCCTATGCAGCTGCTGCCTCTGTCAACAACGGTGTCAACTGCAGGAGCGGGCAATGTCGTCATTGATGAAGGTGAAGTTAGTGTGTTTTAGCTTGTGTATATGTGTGTGTGTGTTTGTTTGTTTGTTTGTTTGTGTGCATGTGTATGCGCCTACCCTTCCATTTACATCATGGCACAGTAGAATCTTTTCTATCCAGGTTCCGAAGGGTGCTCGTATGTCAGAATCGTCCGTAACTTGGACTGAATACCTTACTGTACATTATAAATATTATGGTCATTGATGGTCATTCAGTACATAATGCCATTGTGTGCGTGTGTCTGGATCACGTTATCCTTTGTGTTGGCAGGCCCGTTTCCATTAGTGGGTACCTCGATTGTTGGCAATGGCCTGGAAGAAGTTATGGTAGATGCAACCTCAGGTAAGATGGCAGTAACAGTTACTTCAAAATACTTTTTGAATTATAACCATTATAGTTATGGGAGGGGAGACGGTTCTCTTCCTCGTTTCATTACCAATATCGCAACCTTCTGTAATCAGCAGTTCTTCACACTGCCATTCGTCTCCTTCCCTTTCTGATGCTATTATCGTACTGTAAGACCACCAATTTCAAGGTGCAATACACGTATAAGCACTGTGTGTGTGTGCGTGTGTGTGTGTGTGTGTGTGTGTGTGCGTCCACCCCCAGGATTTGTGGCTACGTTAGAAGCTGCTAGCCGAGCCAGTCCCATGCCAGGTGTCAGTGTCACCACAACGCCTCACTCCGTGCCGCACTCGTTGGTGGCTGCAGCAGTAGGACGCGCTGCTACAGCTGCTGTGTCCGTCGCGCCATCCACGGATATCACTTTCAACGACCAGCTCACACTCACACAAGATCCAAGTCGTATGGATTTCGAGCAGCAGTTGCGGACAACGATTTCGCAAGCAGCTCACGCTTCAGCGGTGTCTGTGGGAGTGCAGTCGGACCGAGCCAAAGAGCAAGCGAGCAATGAGCTAAGCTGTATGATACCAGTGTCGATCCTACCCACTCAGCAGCCGACCATTCAACACGTTGAGCAGTCGATTGTGGTTCCAGAGCATGTGCAGACTACGGACGAGTCTGTCATTTCTTGTAAGTTGTGTGTTCACCTGCTAGTACTAGCTACTGGTGGTGATCTGCTTGTAGGTAGGAGCCGATACTATGCTCCACGGCCGATGCATAGGCACTGTGCGTATGTTATGTGTAACCCATAACCATTCTGGTCGTAGGGGTGCCATGTGTGTCATAAGCCAGCAGCATCAAAAAGAACAGAAAAAAGAAGAAAAACTAACTACATGTACACTGATAAACAAGCTGCCTATACCTTCACGATCAGCAGCAACGAGAGAGAGAGAGAGAGAGAGAGAGAGAGAGAGAGAGAGAGGGGGAGGGGGGGGGGGGGGGGGGCTGTGTTGCAACTCCGAGTTTCACGTAGATTTACGAATACCCGGTACAATGATTATCGTAGTTATTCATCATGCTTGATCATGCTTGATCATTCTCCTGTTGACGACCTGCATAACGTCATCATCCTGTAAATCACATGATCTGCAGCAGGTCCATAGCCTCCATACAGAACGGTGTCATCAAGTCTCTCATGTCGTAGGTCTACACTGTAGCATACCGGCATCTACTACTGCGGTTGTAACCAATGGTAACCGTCTGTAACTGACCAAGGACTATGTAAGTAAGGCCCAGGTTACCGGTCCTCTCTGGACAGTCCCAGGGCCAAAGTCCAAAGACCTAAGCTGCTTGTCTGCAATTGTAAGGCACAGTAGCAGGCACAGTAGCAGGGCTGAAATGACTTTCCCGAATCAGAACTGTCACATGTTGAGTGGTGTCAAAGCGAGGGTACATGTGGTCGGTGCAAGGCCTGACAATGGGCTTCTCTGATTCTCTCCCTCTCATACACATACTTCAAAAGTACACATAATTCAGAGAGACGGTTTCTTCTTCTTCTCACAAGGAGAGTTCAGGAAAAAAGCCAAAAAAAGTTCCTCAAGAGAAATGGTAACAATATGGATACACGCATGAGCGCAGTGGCGCAACCCGCGAGTCGCGACGAACCCCGAGCGCAGCGCAGCGCCAAAAGAGACCTCGTAGAGGTCAAAAGGACAACACACTTGTCGAATATTCTCTGTGTTTGAATATGGAAGAATCAAGGTTTGAGTAGATAAATATAAGTAGTACAGTACTTGAACTACATTGTATGTACTTGAAGTAGCAGAGCAAGTGTGAGTTATGAATTATTTATTGTGATTCACAGTAAAATGAATGGTTGCGCGTTGGAGATTGGCTCCCTGAAACAGATTCAGAGTTGACGCGGACGAGACCGATGACTGTGCCGACACAGGGGCTGGCGGTGGTGCCACTGGCGGCAGGGCCAAATCTCCGAAAAAGGTCATCGTGGGACATTCCCATGAGTAGCTGGTCGACGGTGTCCGAAGGAGCAGACTGACTGATTGCAAGCTGGTCAGCTGGCGTGCAGTTCTCCACGAGTTGGTCCACAGCATCCTGATTCAGCTGCCACGTTTCTTGAACTGGGGCTGCCGTCGACGCGGTCACGTCAAGGCAAGCTGTCATTCACTGCTGCTGCTTCTCACCTGGTTTACTCTAGCTGAGCAGTGACTGGGCATTCTTGTGGCAAGTTGTGGCCAGTCACAGACCTGAACAAATCCTCCCTGCTGATGATTGCTTTGGATTGAGTAGCATTCACTTCGCCCTGTCGCCTCTTTGTCTTGAGGATTTCTTCGTAGGCTTGGTTTGAACCTCTGCGGAACTTAGGGTCCGTGAAAATGTTCATAGTTATCACGGTCAATCTCAGCCAGGTGGTGATTGGTGGCTGCTCGGAATCCCTGGTAACTACTGCGCTGGAAATATTCCTTTTTTTCTTGTTTCGTATACCCAAATACGACTTGCAAAGTGCTTCATTCAATTCCTCTTTGGAGCACGTGGCTAGATCAGTACTGGTGCCATTTTCGGAAGCATGATCCATAAAACCTTCACCGATCCTTTCGTGGTGAATGAAGTGCCCTTTAGCACCCTGGCAGTGATCACGGTATCCACCTTCTGTACTGAAACGGACTCGAAACGGCGCTTGGCAGATGGTTCTGATGATGACTCAGCCGTATTTGGTCAGACACTTCCGAAAAAAAGGTAAGAAGAACTCTACGCTCACTGTGCACAGAAAACAATCTACTGATGGTGAGCGTGAGCAGTACGTAACCTAGCAACGGGCACTTGGGTTGTTTGGATGTACAATCAGTAGCAAGGCAAGAGAGCACAAGAGAACAAGGTTCCACGGACTTACACCGAGACCCTACGCAGAATAATTTGAAAATTCCAAATAATTGTAGACGGGGAACGAAACATAGCGCGGGACAGACAAAGTGTGCTCACCTGAGGGGGACAGACGAAGTGTGCTCACCTGAGGGGGAGCTCCCGTGGCAGGCTTGAGCAGTCGCAGCAATGTTGAGCCGTGGCGAGGTCATGGTGAGGAGACAAGATTAGTGAAACTACAAACGAAGACTGGTGCTCTCAGGGTCGTCGAGAATGACACTAATAGTTGGGCGCCAATTGTCGTCGGGTATTAGACCTGACGATGGGATTCTCCGATTCTCTCATACACATACACGAAACCTCAGAGAAACAGTTGATTTTTCTTGTCACAAGGAGAGTTCAGGAAAAAAAGCCAAAGAAGTTCCACAAGAGAAAAGGTTATACACTCAAACGTCTCTTGTCCGGACGCCTCAGATACGCGCACGTCTCGCTACCGAGCACCTTCAGCTTGAGTTCCTAGGGCAAATGTGCTTCGATTTTTAGGGGTTTGAACTCTTTTTTTCGTATGCGCAAGTGCATTTTGTTTGTCACTGCCAATCTAGTACCTATGTAATGCAAACATTTTCATCGATGATTTTTTATCCTGAACATGTGCAATAATTTTCAGTATACCCAACTCGCAACACACTACCAGTCCTTGGCTACACCACGTACAGTTGAAATTGTCCAAATTTTCACCCAGGAGGGCATCATCAGGGATGTGCAAAATCACAACACAGTAGGACTATACCTGACGAGATCCAGAGGGTACGTGACTGACACAGAGCAGACTCCAGCAATACTGCCAGCGAGCAGCCGACGTGGTGCAATAAGTGCCGAATAAACTTCATCAAAAACTGATATACTACATGGTAGATGAGTTGTCCTGAGATACGGGCAGTGCCCGTTCCCAAGGCACCCGGATAAGAGACGTTCGAGTGTAATATGGACACACGCATGCGCGCAGTCCCGCACAGTCTGCGCGTAGCCGCGAACCCTGAGCGCAACACCAAAATGGACTTCGTAGAGGTCAAATGGGCAACACACAGGTCGAAAATTCCCTGGACTCAGCCTCCTACCCATAGCAGCTCATCATTATGATTTATACCACTTTGGTGGTTAGTGTGTGTGTGTGTGTGTGTGTGTGTGTGTGTGTGTGTGTGTGTGTGTGTGTGTGTGTGTGTGTGTGTGTGTGTGTGTGTGTGTGTGTGTGTGTGTGTGTGTCTACACTGGGTATAGGCCATGCAGTGTCTGTGTCAATGTGTCTGTGGCAGTGTTATTGCAAGAGTGCATCAACTTCCAAGCCAAGGGTGGGAAATTCAATGTGGGCTGGAAAAGATGAACTAGAGGCCTGTAGTGGACCAAGTCGCTGGAAGGTCCAGCCTCCCCATCAATTGACATCCTTTGCTTGCAGCCCTAAACCTACTTGAATCGGTTGTGAACCAGCTAGTGTTAGTTTCTGTCGCCGGAAACCTCTTGTGCAGCATAGCACACTTTTGAGTCTTTGGAGACTCTCAGACTGTAGTATACTTTGATGATTGGGTCATAGCCAACAAAGCGATGTGCAATATGAATTTCATTGAGAACTAATATTGAATTTATCGAAAGCCAGACAGACCCCATCCAAACTGTAGGTAGTGCAAACTGCAAAGTCGAAGAAGAGGTTAATGTAAGCTGCTTGGTGTATCTTGTAACACCAGTTTTTTTTTCTGGTCTGGCTTCCTGCCTGAATGTTGTTTACAGGATAGTGTGTGCTCTGATCATCAATAGCACTGGCCTAAGTTTGTGTGTGTGTGTGTGTGTGTGTGTGTGTGTGTGTGTATCTATGTGTGTCTATGTGTGTCTCTATCTGTGTCTATGCTCGCGCGCGCGTGTGCGTGTGTGTGTTGGCACTTGTGATCTTCTCCGCCTGATCTCCCCGTCTGCAGCCGGCGGTGTGGCCACTCGACGGTAGCTTCTGCATGCCTTTGTCCATCAACCACACTGGGCATCAGTGACTGTAGAGTTGTGCTTTTTCCTGTAAATAAGTTAGTGAGCGGGGCTCCTGAATCATCCTTTCCTCCTAGTGTTACCCTTGTATCCATAGTAAGCCAGTGATTGTATGGCCGTACATAACTTACTTGTATATACGGCTGAGGTGACAGCGTGCACCCAGTTTTCACATCTGCCAGGTCACTAGTTTTGTGCTGATGCCAGTGCGCAGTGAGCCCACTACTGATTTTGATACTGCTATGGGCATGTTGCGAACAGAATGCTGTGTGTGTGTGTGTGTGTGTGTGTGTGTGTGTGTGTGTGTGTGTGTGTGTGTGTGTGTGTGTGTGTGTGTGTGTGTGTGTGTGTGGACTGCGCCTCACTCACAGGGACGCATATGTGCACACACACACACACACACACACACACACACACACACACACACACACACACACACACACACACACACATCTTTTGAAACTGTACATACTATGCTGTAGGAGCATTGTCAACGGATTTGACTGCTCTCTCTCTCTCTCTCTCTCTCTCTCTCTCTCTCTCTCTCTCTCTCTCTCTCTCTCTCTCTCTCTCTCTCTCTCTCTCTCTCTCTCCCTCTCTCTCTCTCCCTCCCTCTCTTCTCTTCTCTTCTCTTCACCATGTCTTGACTTTATCACATGCATAGAGCATGAGATTGTTGTCATCTGGGAAAGAATCTGGTTAGCCTTTGTAGGCATAACCCTCTGCTTTGTATGTGCAATGCTTGCCAGTCTCTCACATTATGCCCTGCTTTCTTTTACCACTTCAGCAGTTTTAAGCCTCATGCCGTTTACTTACTCATGTCCAAATTTGTTGTTGCTGTTGTTGCTGTGCTCTAGACGGTAGCACATGTAGTAGGTCTTCGTTTCAGACTTGATTACCGGAATGTATTGCTCGACCTTTCTCTCTATACTAGAATAACATACCGGTATGTCGAAAAGATACACTACTTTAAATTCCAGTACAATGTAACAGTTGTAGTAAATAAGTAAATGTAGTACTAGTACTAATAAGTAATACGTCCAGGTTCGATGGTGTGCATGTGTGTGGGTGAGTGGATGCTTTCTCAAGTGACCTCAAGCCTAGCTGTTAAACCTAGCTATGGACTGGATGGTATTATTCGAAACATAACTCCTGCATATAATAGTGTACATACGTATGTGTACCGAGAAGTGTCTCAACTGTCTGCTGCTTCAGACTGATAAATAAATACACAATAAGTAATTGCTGCTGCAAGCAGCTGTACAGCTGTGTTAGTAAAGCTGCTTCATGAATATCAATGATAAAAACTGCGCAAGTGTGGGCCGAAAAAGGGACGGACAGAGTCATTTACCGCTAGTGTCTATGATACAGTGACCAGTTCCATATCCGTATATGATCATGCGTGTCAGCACAGAAATCCCCATGTGCTGCTACTACTATCACTATGTCGCCATTGTAGTAATACATTTCCACAAACTGGCCAGGACTGCTGCTGCTACTACTGGTGTGGTTGGACGTATTTGAGGCAATGTGCTTCTGTACGGGAGTACTCACCTATATCTTGACCTCGGCATAGGATGCGTGTCCACTTGCTAGCACGGCGTACATGCAAGTGCTGATGATAGTGTTCATGTCTGAGCTGCACACTTGTAGAGCTGCACACTTGTAGAGCTGCACACTTGTAGAGCTGCACACTTGTAGAGCAGTACGCTCACTGCAATAGCGGTGACATTGACAGCTACCTGCCAGCCATGCGTGACACAGCTGAAGAGACCAACAACTTACACACGAGTTCAATCATCCCGTAGATTACAGACTGGTGCTTGTGCTCGTTAAACTACCCACCCTGGTCCGTTCAGAAGAGTTCATCGCCGGCATTGTTGCAGAAGGAGACAGGTCTTCACTCAGAAATGGTTCCCTTACCGATGACGACATACCATCTTCGTCTTCTTGCTTGGATTCGGATTTCCTTTGCTTCTTTGAGGAAACCCAGGCGACGAGCTTCTCCCAGTGTCTCTTAATGGCCTGTCTCCTTTTGTATAACGTGATGAGCACACCAGCAACCTGAGGCCAGAGGAAAGTGATCACCACAGCTACCCTGATGGACGCTGCCTCGCCAGCTGCACTCAGTCCAGCCACTATGGTAGCATTGGCAAGAACGAGCGCTTCGAATGCATTGTCCAGTGCGTTGCGGTAGGGTTGTGCCAGCACGTGCAGGTAGAACAAGCAGTGCAGCGCAATGAACACGGTGATGCGCCTGGGCAGCGGCTGCGGGATGAGGATGGCCAGAGAGATGAAGACCAGCCGGCGGAGAAAGTTGACGCTGATCCACCAGCGTCGTTTCTCGGCGAGTGTGTGCATGTAAGGGTCGATGAGGGGTTTGATCCTGGGCGTGCTGCGGTACCGGTATGCCACGATGGGTGCTGGAACTAGAATGATGAACAGGAGGAAAATGGCCAGGACACCAAACTCAACATGACCCGGGCCAAAGCATATCTGAGTGGCATCCAAGTAGAAGGTCACGCGATCTTGGAACGGCACGCAACTTAGAAGCTGAAGAGCCACGAAGATAATAGTGCAGTATGACGCCAGTATGCAGCCCCAGAGTGTGGGCAGAACGGGAAAGTTGATCAGGATGCGCATACCGAACTTGAAGGTGCGGAATATTCGTATTATCAGCAGCACAATCAGCAGTACGAACAAGGGCAGGAGAAGCTGAGCTGCGACCTGTGCCGGCGCAGAGAGGTCTGAGCTGATACAAAAGAAGCTCTCAACAAGACCATCCGGAATAGAATGCCGAAGAATGGTGCCATAGCCCCGGGCATCAATGACGGTCGTAATCTGTGCACAGACAGACACAGATAATCAGTGTGCAAGACTGGGAAATACCCACAGATCATTGGGAGATACCCACAGATCATTGGGAGATACCCACAGATCATTGGTAGATACCCACAGATCATTGGGAGATACCCACAGATCATTGGTAGATACCCACAGATCATTGGGAGATACCCACAGATCATTGGGAGATTTGTTTTTTATTTTATTTTTTTTATATACTATGTGCACATCCCTACAAAGTAATAGGGGTAATAAAAGAGACAAAGACAACAAAGGAGTAGTAGGTGCTACAAGAGCTGTGCTGGTCAGGCGCAGTGCACTCCTCCGACCATTTCGGTCTCGGAATCGACATGGACTGTGCGGGCCAAGGGGGCATACTATGAATGATAGACTTATGGGAGCATCTGAGAATGCAACAGAAATGAGAAAGAGAAGATCAGAAAAAAACACAAATGCAAATAATATAGGTTGATCATGCTTCAGCTTACGTAGGTCCCTGACAGAGAGAGAGAGAGAGAGAGAGAGAGAGAGAGAGAGAGAGAGAGAGAGAGAGAGAGAGAGAGAGAGAGAGAGAGAGAGAGAGAGAGAGAGAGAGAGAAGAGAGAGAAAGAGAGAGAGAGAGAGAGAGAGAGAGAGAGAGAGAGAGAGAGAGAGCGAGAGAGCGAGCGAGCGAGAGAGAGAGAGAGAGAGAGAGAGAGAGAGAGAGAGAGAGAGAGAGAGAGAGAGAGAGAGAGAGAGAGAGAGAGAGAGAGAGAGAGAGAGAGAGAGAGAGAGAGAGAGAGAGAGAGAGAGATACCCACAGATCATTGGTAGATACCCACAGATCATTGGGAGATACCCACAGATCATTGGGAGATACCCACAGATCATTGGGAGATACCCACAGATCATTGGGAGGTACCCACAGATCATTGGGAGATACCCACAGATCATTGGGAGATACCCACAGATCATTGGGAGATACCCACAGATCATTGGTAGATACCCACAGATCATTGGGAAATACCCACAGATCATTGGGAGATACCCACAGATCATTGGGAGATACCCACAGATCATTGGGAGATACCCACAGATCATTGGGAGGTACCCACAGATATTATTTTGGGAGATACCCACAGATATTTGGGAGATACCCACAGATCATTGGGAGATTCAATACAAGCGCAAACCACATAATGTAGGCACTCAAGAACACTTCTTTTATGCAAGGCATCTCTCTCTCTCTCTCTCTCTCTCTCTCTCTCTCTCTCTCTCTCTCTCTCTCTCTCTCTCTCTCTCTCTCTCTCTCTCTCTTTCCCAGGCTTTCCCTCCCCCTTCCCATACTTGCCAACCCCTGGCAAACAGTTCAAGTTCCTTGACACTGATGCCGTTTTCCTTGATTTTGCCCAATTTCCTTCATCTGCAATTTTTACATCATAATGGTGCAAAATATTGTATGACATCATAGTGACGTCACTATGACGACAAAACATTCGCAAATAGTACAGCATGTACGACAAAAAAGTACTTTTTCATGCGCTAACTCAAAAGTTCTCGCTCGCTCCTACGCTAGACCTTCGTTTTGGGCACAGTGAGCGTCCAAAACACT